ATATTCAGCCAGGGGAATTCCTCAGAAATGCTGCATGTTTTTTTGAATGGTTTGGTGGAGGGGAAGAATGGTTGATCTTCATTACAAGGATTAGAACTGCTAGAAGGGCAAGTACTATATGGCAGTCTGATCAAGACTGAAGAGGTGGTTTTGATCCTTTTTTATCAACCTGTAACACTGGACAATTTTTTCTGTGTAAGGGGCGCTGGACCCGATTTCCAGCAGGTGCAGCTCCCCACCAATAGATGGAGCCTCCCTGACAGTGCTAGTGGTGTCTGCTCTTATCAGCATCCCTAGCATTAGCTCGGGTTGCTTTGAAAAAAAAAAAAAGAGACCTTCTGGGACATTCTTACACTGGGACTTCGGGCAACTTAGGGCGTGCTCACACTCTGACTATCCTTACAGCATACTGACACTGGCACCTTTTGGGACAAACGCTGGGACTTGGGGTGACTTGGGACACAAGAAAAGGAGGGCTGCGCCTCCTAGAGCCAGCCCAACAAATACAGGCCTACAACATAAAACGGATACTCAGACTAATCCTACATAGGAACCTCCAATGGGCACCATTGGCCCTCAACCACATCAGAGAATTAGCCTCATTTAACTCCCCTTCTAATATGTCGTGCCTATTTTGGATACTCGATAATAAATGACCTCTTCCAAGAGACAAAAAATCTCATAACCAACAAACAGACCAAACAGAAGACACACCAAATGAAATGTCCAAATCCCTATGGGTACAACTAATACCCACTCGGAGAAAAATCTTCGCAGAAAACAAAATGGGCCCAAAAGAAGAGACAAAGTCCTTAGACAACCCGTATTCGGCAACCCCTGGATCAAAAATGAAAAAGGAGAAAGCTTTTCCCTCACCAAATCAGACGCCAAATGGGGGCATTGGCTAGAAAAAGGGATCCGGCAAATTCAGCGCCTGTGGAATGAACTCGGCAATACCTGGAAAACAGAGAAAGAACTGAGACTGACTCTCAAGGGGCACCATAATCTACAAGCCATTCTCTCGCATATTATGGAATCCATACCAATGAAATCGAGAAGATTGTGAAGGACGGACCAAAAATGCCAGGCAGGAGATCGGGCCACACGTCAAGCACACAAGAAATCCTGAGAATTATAATCAATGAAATGTATAACAACGAATGGATTTGCTGCAGCATCTTCCCCTTGAAAGAACCAGGAAATCTAGTGAGCCTCCTTGATAATGAAACCAGGGCAGAAGGATCCTTTAAAATTAACAACCTCAAAAGAATCAGAGTTTTAGAAGGAGAGAAGAACAGAGTTTACAAACCTGAATTGGAAATCCAACAACTAGTAGTCGACCCCACAGAATAGTCTTGGTGCGTCCCTACCAACATTACAAAGCATACTTGCGGCGCACCAGTGTGGTGCGCCTTGCGCCGTGCGCGGATCTAAGATGTGAGCGCACGTGCGCACACCGCGCACAAACGCGTACAGATGCAGTGCACCGTGCAGGGCGCAACTTTGCTGGTGCGCCGCTGGTGCGCGGGCCCTCGTTTTTTTTATTGTGTGTGTGTGTGTGTGTGTGTGTGTGTGTGTGTGTGTGTGTGTGTGTGTAGTGCAGTGAACTACTTCGCTGGGTCCGTAAACTTTGATCGAGGACAGCGTTGCCCTCGAATGTATCCTTCTAACTGCCAGGCCAGATAGATTCATGAGCAGCAGCAATTTCGAGGAGATCCGCGTTCCCGCCCTCCAACCAAGTTTCCGCCCTGTATGGAGGGCAGTGTTGCCCCAAATGTATCCTACTCTACTATCAGGTCGCATACAGTCATTATTGGCAGTGTCAGAAGATCGGCAAAAGACAACAGTTACTATGTATGTCTGGGAAAACAAAAGCAAAAAAAAAAAAAAACAGACCGGGGTGTATCTCGTATCTCCTACTCACACTACCTTCTTCCCCCGAATACAACGTTCGGTCGTTATAGCTGTATTTGAGGTATCTTTCCATCTAGATACAGCTATAATGGCCGTACGTTGTATTCGAGGGAAGATTGTAGGACTTTTCTGGATGTATCTAACGCCAATGATGCCTGGAATCACGCCCATAGCCCGAGTCTAGAAGGGTCTTAGGGCGTCGCTGCACTACTCCAGAAATGCTTGGCGATGTATCTTTACTTGTTCTAGGGGAATATTCACTCTCGTTTTGCACATTTCGAGAGTGGGGAGAGTGGTGGAGCGAGGCCCATCGTCAGGAGTATCCGTTGCCCAAAAACGGAGCCACGCCCCATGAGGATGTCGCGGACGTTCACTCTTTGTTTTTTTTTTAATAGCAAAAGCACCAAGGAAACACAACTGTCAGTTCTGTCGTTTTCTATATCTGGAAGTAATGAGAGGAAAGCAACGGTTCCACAGACGTGTCCTCATCATGACTTTATTGGACCTCTGAAAGGACTCGGATACACTGAAGATAGCATGGAGTTGTGTACAGCAAACATGACAGCACACCGAGTTTTTGGGGCAGCGCGGCCCTGAAACAAATTTGCACGGGCGATGTCGAAATTTTCGCTGGGCGTGGGAACTCCGATTCACCCTCTACCCAACTTTTTTTTTTTTTTTGGTTGACCCCGAATTTTGCCCGTGCGCGCGCCACGTGCGCAATGCGCAGTGCGCCGCATGTGCGCGGGTGGCGCGCACGGGATGCGCCGCAAGTATGTTACAAAGGTGACACAAAGACATAAGTTACCAGATTACACAGCCAAACTAGGATATAAAGTATTATAAACTGCTTTCTACCCCCACCTCAACTACTACAATAATACAAAAAAGACGGCAAAAGGCCTCGCAACCACCACCTTCACACCCTCTTGGTCTCCCGTTTTCAACGCAAAAGCAGTCAAACTGGCAAGTCTATGATGGCTTATCACATTCGGAGCAGTCCCCGTGAGCGACTGGCTAGCACAAAGAAGGAAGAAAGATGACAGATCCGATAAAACCTCATGGTGCAAAGTTTGCAACACAAAAGCCATCGAAACGCTAAATCATTGTTTCCTGGAATGCGAAAAATCCCAAACCCTCTGGTATGACGTTGAGAGAACCTGGAGCAGACACACTAGCAGAGAACCTCCGGTATGACGTTGAGAGAACCTGGAGCAGACACACTAGCAGAAAAGTGCAAATGAACCCAGGCATCATATTCCTGTAGATAGAGAAAACCCCACCCCTCAAGGGCTTTGACCTATTTTTCTTCTCACAAATAAGAAAGGCGACCCTGTGGGCTATCTGGACACCTGCTGTAGCAGGTATCGCACCTGCTGGTGGGTGTAGCTCCCGCATGTTCCCTCGTTGGAGGCTTGAGCACGGATGTGGCTGCTACGGGGTTCCCCGTAATACTATAATGACAATAAAAAAGGCCTGAAAGGCCGTCCTGTCCAGATTTGACAGGTAATTGAATTGGTTGGGCTCTAAAGAATTAGCCTTTGAAAAAGAAAAGGTGTGAAAGGACTTTTGAAAATAACCCAATTAACTCTGAAACCCCCCTAATAAACATCAAACAAATTGTAGAAACTGAAATACACGCCCTATGGAAGAGAACCCCGACCCAGAGTGAAAAGCACCCAGGCAATCTACCAGAAATCATCAAAAGATTCACCACATTCAAGCTAGGAGGAGGAAATTTAAGCACCATAGAAGGAAACAGACTGAGAATGAAAGACTGGTTAACCATGACATCCCATCATTCCCAAAAACCGACCATCCGCACGATAAGCTCACAGATTCCCAACCGAGAAACAGACCCCCGCAGTCTACAAGACAGAGCAGACGACACAATCTAATTCCTAAAACACACAGAAAACCATTAACATTACCTACTAATCACCCAGTAACCTCTTAGTTAACAGCACAAGTGTAGCTAAACCAGACACCTCCCTTGCATCCAGAACCAAACCACTAAACAGCAAAGTACATACCATACACACCTTCCAACTCCCCCCACCCCTTCACCTTCCAACCCTCTGAATAAACTCCACCGCCCACTTAGTTACCCCACACCCACCATGCTCCCCTGACCCAGATCAGCGTTCCCCCGAGACTATTCCGCCGGAGACTACACATCCCCCATAAGTAGACAAATGACGAGTGCTTAAAGGTTTAGCTTTTGAAGGAGAAACAGTTCCTTAAGTTTTGAGGGCTAAAACACAGGCAAGGGGTAAAGAGTACTACAGCCCCTAGAAAATAAGGACTAGGAAGATAGAAAAGAAAAGTCAAAAAGATAGGTGTGAACTGGTAAATAAATCGACTAGAGTCTAAGACTTGGCCAAGAATCTCTACAACAAAGTCTAATAGGCTGAAGGTTTTTTTTAGCAAAGACTACCGCAGAAGACCGAACCAGCAGGTCCAGCAAGTAACGATTATCTGACAGTCAAGGAACTGAAAGCATGATTTGTTTTGGGGGAAACTTTCAGTCTCAACACAGAGATCACACACTGTTAACGGGGTTAACCATGTAAAGCACTGAAAGCATGATATGTTGGCCTGTTTTCCTTTTTTTTTTTTTTACCTCAAGGTTGCTGTGTGTCAAATGTTGTGTCTTTTGGACTGTGGTGTCCACTCTACAGAGTGGTAGCAAGTTTGGTTGAAAAGGCCTTCGGGTTTTCTTACAAACAGCATTCAGAACATGATGAAAATGTGGGCCTCCATTAACCATCCACCGTGCGTTCTATTCATAGGAAGATCATGTGACAGTAGTTTGAAGGGGCTGGGACCCTTGCACCATCCTCCTGATCTTTGAAGATTTGCATGTTTCTGTTTTGCGTCTATGAATTCTTCTTGTTTGGCTTTAAAATAATGTGTTCTGATACCTTTGTCGGCCCTTTGGCTAAGATCAAGTGTAGTATCTGTTCTGATCAGTTTACTATCTGTTCCATTGGGGGAGGAGGGGGGGGGGGGGGGGGTCTTTAGGGATAAAATTGTAATAAAATGGTGTGGAAATGGTAGAGTACCCAATTTGGCAAAAGGCAGGTGTTAGAGTGAGAGAGAGATAGAGAGAGGGGGGGGGGGGGGGGGGGGGGGGGGGGGGGGGGGGGAGAAGAGTTAAAAAAGTTAAAAAAACGTCTTTCTTTCCAATGGACCACGGCATGCTGTGGAAACCTGATTTCAACATGCACAATGGTTTTGCAGGGTGCATGGGAGGTGATGGCCCTGGTAAAGGGGAGGTAGCAAGCAAAGGCGCAGGAGGAGGAGGTGGTCATGGTGGAATGGGTGGAATTGCTTATTTCAACACAAGCGTTGCGCTCGGCGGCAAAAGCTATGGAAATGACAAACTTCCTTGTGAATTCGGAAGTGGAGGTGGAGTATTGGAATTGGGAGAAGGAAGCAGCGGAGGTGGTGTTCTTGGTGAGCCTCTCTCTCTCTCTCTCTCTCTCTCTCTCTCTCTCTCTCTCTCTCTCTCTCTCTCTCTCTCTCTGCATGTATCTATGTGGTGGGAATCCATCGTGAGATGATGTGAGGGAGAGGCAGGCTTGATTCATGCACAGACTGAGTGCAACAGACTCGTAATCCCAGTACATATCAAGGACAAGCACAGGCTTGTCTGAATCGGATGGACCAATGGAATGAAGTTTAACACAATGACAAAACTCCAAACTCGGTTTGATGAATGAACAAGTACAGGTGCTCAAGCAGGCAATTATACACTCATCTGGTGTCAGACTGACGCCAGGGTACTCTCTCTCTCTCTCTCTCTCTCTCTCTCTCTCTCTCTCTCTCTCTCTCTCTCTCTCTCTCTCTCTCTCTCTCTCTCTGTGTGTGTGCCCCCCTCCAAAAGGTGTTGTTTGTTAGAAGTGCCTGTACAAGTAGGGGGACTCGTGGGTTTGAGATGCCCGTGTGTCTATATGTTCCCTGGTGATGATAAACAATCATCAAAATGGCTCCCGTACTCTTGATGGTGGTGTGAACCTACTCTCTGTTGTGTTCTACTTGTGGTGAGAGTAGTTGATAAGTCTGTGCTGAATGTATACACTGCCCTCTTGGTACTGCCCTACTGCATGGCTGTTTGTCTGCTTGCCTTGTGTTGCCTACTGCGCTGCAGCTTGGTCTTGTTGCTCGCCTGCGCACTTGCCTCTCTTGCCCTGCCGCCAACCTGCACGCTTGCCTGCCTGTTCCATGCTTGCTTGTTTGCTGCCTGCTTTTCTTCCCCATCCCGGGCTCTTGACCGTGTGGCTTGCTGTTACTTGTCTTGTTGCTTTTCTTCCTGCCTTCTTGCCTGCCAGCCAAACCTCTGTGTTTTCTGCTGCCTGCGTTGCATTGCTGGATTTTCCACCCGCCTGGCTGTCTACGCAACAGGAACCCGAGTAGATTGTGACTCAAAATATCAATATGGCAATTCTGGACTGTCAAGCGTTCAGCCTCCTGATGAGTCGGTGAGAGTCTGGCCAAAATAGTCTGTCATTAACCCCTTACGATTTCATTTGCTTTTCGGTTATCCATTGTCATGTGTATGATGTGTAGTCTTTCTTACGCATGCATGCTGAAGGCATCTGGGTCTTGCGCTGAATGCTGCACTGGGAAGCTTTGGGACGCATCTTTCGGGGTGCATTGCCCTGGTCGAAACTATGGGCTTTGTTCCATGGCACTAGAATTGCACCTTGCTAAATCATCACAGCTGTTCATATGGAAAATCTAAGGCCACAAGCTAGTATTTGCACCTTGCTAAATCATCACAGCTGTTCATATGGAAAATCTAATAAGGCCACAAGCTAGTATTGCTTGTCTTTGCCGCAGTGGATCGGTCCCCAATGTTTTGCACGGAAGCTTGATTGTTGGAGGTAGGATACACGCATGATCAAACACACACACACACACACACACACGCACACACACACACACACACACACACACACACACACACACACACACATGCACACAGTGTTGTAGGGAGTTAGAACGGCTTATGCACATGTGGGGCAAGTAGTTGATATGGCAGCCGGAGCGCCCATTGACATTGCAAGATCCTTGACATTGGGAGAATGGGGAGCATCAACGACAGGTCAAACTACATTTCCCACGTGCGATGAGAGGGTCTTGATGGGTTCGAAAGATGCTTTACAGGCATGTGAGGGACGAGGGAGTGTCAATGGGGGTCACGAGATGCTTTTCAGGCATGTTGAAGAGGGTGAAGTCAAATCATCAATGAATTGCAGTATGCCCCATATGCAGGGTCCGAGGGGTGGGGTGGGGGGGGGCATCCATGAGGGTCACAAATAGAGTGTACGTGGAGGCTGGGGTCACGGAGAGTGTCAATGCGGTTCACAAGATGCTTTACAGGCATGTCAGGGGGGAGTATGGGCATCAACGGTGTTGCCAGGTCAGCAGTATGATTTACATGGAGTGTATTGGGAGTGTTGATGGGACTGCAGGATGCCTCATACACATGTTAGGGGGCTGTTATAGAATCACTGAAGGTTGTAAGATCCGTTACATGCATGCTGGGGGAATGGGGAGTGTTGATTTGAGGTCACAAGATGCTTTGCATGGACGACAGGGGGGGAAGTTGGAGCGTCTCTGCAGGCTGCAACAGGGTTTGGATTCAGTTTGGTGGGTGTGGGAGCATGGATGGGATGTGCAAGAACGTGTCGCACACATATTCGGGAAAGATGAAATGTCGCTGGGGATCATAGAATGTATTGCATGCATGTCAGAGGGGGAGAAGTGAGGGAGTCAGTGGGGGCCGCAACATGATGCGCTCAGGGAGGGAGGAGGAGCATCGATTCTGTTGACAAGATGGTTTACACACACACTGGCAGAAAGGGGGAGAGGATAACGAGGGCACACTTGGGGCTCTGACACACTGTGCCTTCTATGTCTGACATATCATGTGCTACCTTCATTTCTATTTCTGTTTGGTGGGATGCATTGTGGATTACTTGAAGTGTTCGGTTCGATGGAGTATCCACTAGGAGTACTCGAGGTGTCTGGATCAATCACAGCTGATGGAGCTGATGCTGAGAAGCGCCATGGAGGTGAACTAATTGGTGGCAGTGGAGGTGGAGCCGGAGGGAGCGTGCTGTTGTTTCTTAGGAGTTTGAAGATGGAGAACACCTCCATAATTTCGAGTGCTGGAGGGAATGGGGCTCCTGTTGGAGGAGCTGGTGGAGGGGGCGGGAGAGTGCATCTGGAATGGGTAGATCTGCTTTGGGGGGAGAAGTACGTTGCACATTCCATGGTTGAGACCAACATCTCTGTGTGGTAAGCCCTTTCGATCACATAGGACCTGACTCTTTTTTTTTTTTTTTTTTTTTTTTTTTTGTAAAATCCCCCTCTGTGTTAGTGGTGCTGGTAAGAGCAGACACCACTAACACCTGGGAAGAGGCTCCATCTATTGGTGGGGAGCATCACCTGCTGGAAAACGGGTCCAGCGTCCCATATACAAAATGAGTTCAAAGGATCAGGACAGGATATTGGAAAGGGGAGAGAACCTCTTCACCCTGTGCCAGGCGCGGGATACCTGCTACTATAAGTAGTATAAACTAGTTCTTCCTTCCCCTACCTATCCCTACTGGGTCCATCATCCCATGGCAATCATCCCATTACCTATAAAAAAAATATGAATTATGTTGTAAAAGAATAGGAAATCCCTCCAGTTCCAGAGGGACCACCAGATGCCATTTGTCAGCCAGATTTCCTATCTATCCAAGAGTCTATTTAAACTTAGTCCTCCCTTAAACCATATAATTGCATATCAATCAGGGAGAATTCCGAAGGAGGGAAAAAATCTGGGAAACAATCGGGAGATCTGAGTGAGTCTCCGGGCTGAAGTGTAAACCAGTGACGAAAAACAAGCTGGAAGTCTCGCTGTAGATGACCCACTGTTTCCACACCTGGCCAGACCACCTCGCCCAGTCCCCGCCCTGCAGTTTTCCCCAGCCAGTCCAAATTAAATTCTTGAATGTGTTGTAGAAATCTTTTTTTGGTGAAAAAGCATTAATTTGGTTTTCAGAGTCGACCAGTGAGCTCGGATTTCTGTTTGTATGAATTGGACGATAAGTTCAGCAACCTCTAATCCTTCCACCTTCTCTTGCTTTGACACAACGTCTATACCACATGGTTCATAAGATCGCTTTACGACCAATTTTGAAACTTTGAAAGAGAGAAATCAAAGGGTTCCCATCGACCCAGTAGAATTGCCCTCCAATCCCAAGGCCAGTCCTTTCCTGTCAGACTTCTCCAGATGCAGTTGCATCTCCTCCATAAGAGGAGCGATCCTGGACATTGACTCTACGTCTTTGTCTGGCTGAGAAAGTCGAATTGTTATTCCTCGTACTTTTGATGTCAAACGACGACTGGATCACGCGTCCGGCCATCGACAATATACACCAATGGAAAACCAACAAACCTCGCTGTTCGGAAGAGCACTGATAATTAGCAATGTGGCATTAGCTTCGATGTGGTATAAATCTGCTTTGTGGGCTATCAGTAAGACAAGAACAGAGAAACTTCAAAAACAGGTGGCCACCTTTTATGGAGAGGAAATCACAAGCTGGAAAAGTCATCCCTAGAGTGGGGTGCCTTTCCCTAATTCAGCCCACATCCAGAGGAGGACTGGGAGTTCTTGATCCTTCCCTGCAGTGTCAAGCGCTATCACTTCAATGGATAAAATAATTACTTTTTCCATTGATAAGCCTTGGCAACCCATGGCTCTTGAACAAATCCGTAGATTGGCTCCCCCGACAACTGAGGACATCCATCCTCTCACATGGGTGGAAGATTTATTCTGGAGCATCCCCCGAGCAAAGGAGCAGCCTAGGGAAGAAGGGTTGAGGGGAGCAGCTAGAAGTAATCTGTTATTGGATAATCTATGGGTGTCTCTGTTGAAAATGTGTTGTAGATTACGCCTACTCAACAGACCCTTCCCCTCCCCTCTTTGGCCACAAATGGATCACGGATCAGAATGGTTGTATATTCAATAGTTTTGTCCCACCATGGTCCTTGTGGGTCAAAAGAGGGGTTTTGAGGGTCAAAGATCTATGGGATAAGAAAGAAAATGATTGGATAACCGCAGATCAATTAAGGAGTGGGCTTAGGTATGCCCACCAACTCCCACACAACTTGGAGCAGATCATCTTCTCAATTCCCTTAGCTTGGGTTAGAACGCTAAGGAAAGGTATTTTCTTCAAAGAAACCGGTTGGGTAGTGGGGACTGGCACTTCGGAGCAATTGGAAGCAGGCCAGATTGTGCAGCTCTATTCGGAGTGAGCTTGTGATAAGCCAAGTTCAGTACCTCGCAGCTTCACGTACCCTTCGGATAAAACCCCGAAGTAAGCCCCGAATTACATATCCTAGCTGACTACAGAAATGGGGGTCCGTTTTGGATATTGAGGGCCATCTGCATGCATCTTTTCGATTTGCCTGTCTTTGTTCAAAGTAGTCTCGCACGGACGATTAGCGACCGAGTGGGAATTTCAAAAAACAGTTATGAGTTTCGGTTGACGGTATTTTCAATTTTTCTTTGCATCAGCCAGCGAGCGCGCGACCATTTTTTAATTCTTGCTTGTCACTCAAGCGCGCTTTCCACTTTGAGCGCGCACAACAAGCTGTCCTTCGTCTCCTCGTACCCCTTCGTCTTCCTCTAGACCCTTCATCCCATCCTCTCCTTGCCCTTCGACGCGATTGATTGGTCGTCAGTTGTGTTAGTCGGATCAAGCCGTAAAGGCAAACTTACGGGCATGGCTTGAACAACCACCCCAAGTGAACAAAAAATTTGATCATCCCGCCTTCTTACCTTCTGGAACCTTTTTCCTTCGCTCCTCCTCATCTACCCCCCTCGCTACCCGCATTGCACGCTGATGCCCCGCCGCCTTCCACTATGAATTTGCACAGCTCCTTTCTCTCCCTCTCTCTGATCTCGGTTGCGCGAGCTATGCCCAATGACTACGGCGGTGAATAGGCTCACCGTGCCCAAGGAACGGGCGGGGTGACGGCGTGGTTGGAATTAGCGATAGACTCAGGGTAAGGCTGTTGGAGGAACTGAGCGGTGGTGGACACGGAATGCCGCCAGCGGCAGGGCCTTATGGCTATGGCTGGTTTCCGTTCGTCGGGTTTGGTGGTCGTGCATGCAGAGTGCCGATGTTGTTGTAATTTTGAATAGTGAGGGACTCGCTTCTTCTCCATTGCTGGTTTGTCCATTTGTTGTGTACGCTAAAGACTAAGTTTGGATACTCAGTCATGTGCATGCATGGCTTTGGCTGTGAGTGTCTATGGATGTTGAATGCTTCTCTGTCAGAAAGTCTATGGATGTATGAGAATTACAGGTGTGTGGTGTCTTCGTCTTGTGGAGCACCTGATTGCGCGTCCGGGGCATTGGGTGTTGGATGTCTGCCCGAGTGCATGAGCATGCTGATGCCCTCTTTCCCCTCCCGACTAACTGCCGATCCCCGCACCTAGATCGTGTGCGAGATCGTCGCCGGCCTTTTTCTCCTCTCTCCTGGTTGTTCAGGCGCCACGTCGTAAACCACCACTCCCTAAATTCGGCCTTCCTGGCTTTACGGACCGGGTTTTTAGGGAGGCGGCAACCAGCAGGGGCAGGCGGGTCCAATCCCGCAATTTTCAAGCGCCAAATTTGGCGAATTTTTGTGATCAGAAGAATTAATGAAAAAATCTGAAAACTTGAGATCTTGTAGAATATGCTATGATCTATCCAGGGAAAATATCAGAAAAAAAAAAAAAAGGTTTGGATGGCGAAAAAAATGTCACGCCGATTCATCTCATTTTCCATTTTTGCCGCTCTACCACGTCTGGGCCAACGGGAAAAGTACCTCAACTTCAGCGATTTTTCACGCTCAAAAGAATGTATCAAAAAAACTGAAAATTAAAGGGTACGTAGATTTGGCCACAGTCTTTCCAGGAAAAATATTTTAAAAATTAGAAAAAATCATCCAGGCCGCGAGATAAATTGCAGCGGCAATTCGACGCATCTTCCATTTTTGCCACTCCACTGGTTCTCCCCACTGTGCAACTGGTCCGCCCGAATTAATTTAGGCCGGGGGGGAGTCGTGGTTTAACTTCTCCGCTCACCCAGGCGTATGTGCAGGCGACTAGGGACATCGGGTACATGGGCTTATTTGTTCCACCCCATCTCTCTGCCGCTGACCATCGTCGTTTTGTCAAGGTGACATTTTTGTTGGGGTCAACACAATTAGCAGCCTGCGTTTTTTTTGTAGTGGGGTTGAGCGCAGTGGGACGAGAAGAGGTTTGTATGGAGTCAAGAGTTGCACTATGAACGTGAGCGTGGGCAACTGCCCGTGCTCGAACCGAACATCGATCCGCCCTACTGACCTCCGTCCCTTTCCGATCGCAGACGAGGAAAGCCTTTACTGCGACCCGGACGTCAGGAGGACACTATTGCAGACCAATCGGGTTCATCTGTATAGTCCGTCCAAGGCATGCCACATAGGGGGATCGGGGTTCGTTTTGATAGATCGGTTTGCTTCCCCGTGGTTGATTTTGCCATATACTGATCTGACTGTGCTCCTGTGGTCCTGTGGCGCATGCCACGTGGAAGCCTCAGTTCAACTGTCGGTGGTGCCGGCTAGGAACTTGTGTTCCTGGTGGAGGCTGGTGCTGGGGTACGAAGGTTCCGTCCGGTTCCCATATTTCTCCCGCAACATCGGGGCTATTCCAGCAAACTTCCGGACCTGGGTACCTCCACTCCCACCCCCATCAGCTGACGAGGATTGAGCCGATCGGACAGGCTCCGCAGAGCTGACTCAAATGCCTAGGGTGTCCCCTGTCTCCTTGGCCCTCACGAAAAGGGCGGTGTGAACCTAATGAAAGAGATGTGATAGATTCGTTGTCTTTTTGTATAGTCTTGCGGTTATATCTTGTGTCAAAGGAGTTGTATCGGTGTCCCTAAGTCGAAGGGCATAATTTTTTTGATGCCCCGCCCTTCTGCGGCTGTCTAGATTTTGAAATTTTGTGATTTTCCTTGTCAGCCAGAGTTGCCGAATGACCCTCGGGACTGAGGCAAGAACCCCCAGTTTCGCCCTGGCGGTTCAACTCCGCCCAAAATCCTCGGCTGGAAGCTCTCCTCCCTCTACCTCCAAGTAAGGGCAATAGAAGCCTTTAGACTTGCATCTGAGATGAAAGTCTATTGGGTCGAAACTGAAGGCTGGTGGCTAGCGGATAGCACCCCTTCCCAACCCTCAGCCTTAGCACCACTCTTATCCTGGTCCACAGCAGAGAAGGCACTTCTGTGCCTGGGCATCATGGTAAACAAAGATACCACATGGCCACGGATGGGACAAAAAATCTGATCAACAAAGCGATGTCACTCATGGCGCCATCCAAGACAGTGCAGGCCTCTCTAATGGGTAGTGCCCTGATCATCAACACTTTAGTCTACCCCACCCTGACAACAATCTCAAAACATTGGAAGGCAGGGTTAGGTTCTTCCTCTGGACCGGCGACCCCAGCAGGCTATCCTGGAGCAACAAGGTGGCCTGGCTCCAAGCATCAGAAAGCCACATGAAAGGCGGTCTTCGGGGTAACTGACACTAAGCAGGAATGCATAGCGCTACAAATGAAGTGGATCATCAGATTGTTATCCAAACATCACCTCCTATGGGCCGGGATGGGCACTTGTAAGCATAGGACTTCTAGCACCTGTCAAGAGATGGAAGGGAGATATTGGAACCAGATGGCCCTTTGGCAGAGATGGAAGGGGACGTTCTGTGGGTCACAGATTGGTCTTTCTACTTGCTGGTGGATGGGAACCGGGGTGATGCTCCCAAGAATGGACAAGGAAGCAGGACCATACGGACCTGTTTTTAAATTTTAATTAACAACAGGTGGACCTCCCGCAGCTACGCTGCGGTCAAGGACGACAGCAAAAACATTTCGCAAAACACCCCAGACATCAGTTGGACCCCATCTTTGCAATGTACCCTACCAGACACCGTCCAACTTTGCAAAATCCCCCGGTAGTTGCCAACTTTTTGTGGGTGCAATTGCAAAAAAAGCGCCCAATTTTCAGGGACTCTCTCTCTCTCTCTCTCTCTCTCTCTCTCTCTCTCTCTCTCTCTCTCTCTCTCTCTCTCTCTCTCTCTCTCTCTCTTGCCCCCTTGTGCAACCTCCTCCCCCTGTCGTGACGTCCTCGTCCTCCCTCACAACCCCCTCCTGCTCGCGCGAAATCCTCCCCCTAGCACGACCTCCTCCTTCCCCTGCCGCATGAACTGCTGCAACCTCTCGTCCCCAGCGTGCGACCTGCTCCTACCCTTCCCACGACCCACTCCTCCCCCTTGCACGGCGTCCTCCTCCCCCTCACGCGACCTTCTCAGACCTCTCTTCCGACCTCATCCAGCTCCTCCTCCTCCTTACACCACCTCCTCCTCTCACTCATGTGTCCTCGTCCGGCCTCCTCAAGCCACTCGCGCGACCTCCTCTGACCTCCCTTCCGACCTCCGCTGCAACCTCTCGTCCTCCTCATGCGACCTGCTCCTCCCCCTCTTCCGACCTCCTCCTCTCCCTTGTGCCACCTCCTCTTCCCCCTTGTGCAACGTCTTGCTTGTCCTTGTGCGAACTGCTCCTCCCCCTCCCACTCCGTCTTCCGATCTCCTCCTCCCCCTTATGCAACCTCCGTGTGACCTCCTCCTCCCCCTTGCGCGACCTCCTCCTACCCCTCGCGCGATCCCCTCCTCCCCCTCGTGCAACTTCCTCCCTCTTCCGACCCTCCTCCCCTCGCGCGACCTCCTAATCCTTGTGCGACCTCGTCCTCCCCCTCCTCATCCACCTCGCACGACCTCCTCCCACCTCTATTCCGACCTCCTCCCCCTTGTGCGACGTCCGCTTCCCCTCGCACGACCTCCTCCTTGTGCAACCTCCTCCTCCCCCTCGTGCCACCTCCTTCAATCTGTCTTCCTACCTCCTCCCCCTTGTGCGATGTCATCCTTCCCCTCTTCCGACCTCCTCCTCTCGTTTGCACAACCTCCTCCTCCCCCTCGCACAACCTCCTCCTCCCCCTCGCACAACCTCCTCCTCCCCCTCGCACGACCTCCTCCTCCCACTCTCCGACGGCGCCCGAATGGTAGCATGCGGAAAACCACCCAAAAGGCGGGGATTAAAAAAAAAAGAAACGACTGCGTTTGTCTGCTCCCTTCCAAGTGCGAGGCGCGCGGCAGCGAGTCCGCCTGGGCCCGACGTGATGCGCTGTGCTTTCGTCCGTTTTCCGTACGCTCTTCCGTTTTCAGCCCGCCGCGAGGCAGCGAGTCCGCCTGGGCCCGACGCGATCCGCCCCTCCGATTTACAGTGAGAAGACCAGCACGCGGCGTGGGCCGGGCGTTTCACGCAGCACCGAACTTCCTTGCGCGGTACCGAATTTCCTTGGGACCCGACGTTTCGTGCGGCACCGAATTTCCTTGGGCCCACTGGGAAGCGTCACGTCAGGCCCTCTACAGTAATAGTATAGGGATAGGGGAAAAACAAAAAAAGGCAAGAAACTTGTGCTTTCACACCAGAAATCTTCCTGACAATGATATGGCTGCCAACCATATGGCATATGGTATTGCTAATTGAATTTCATTATTTTTTCATTTTTGTGTATCTGATTATCAGCCGAATGCCGCACACACATGCTGCAAGGCTGAAAGCATGATTCAAAGACTCGAAGTTTGGTTCGTATGATAAGCTGGAACCATATGAGAAAAACGGATGGCTTTTGTATGGACTTTCATGCTTTCTACCAGGGGCGGACACGGAAGCAATGTATCGACTCCAGGATTGTCGGGGAACTTGAGCACAATAGACTGCCCTCCTGGTCTTCATGGCCCGTTTTGTGAGGTATGTTCTCTACAAAGCAAGAGAAGGCCCCTGAAGCTTGGTCTTTTGTTTTGAGTTGTACTTTGCCTTGGGCACTGGGCCCTTGAAAAAAAAAAAAAAAAAAAAAAGGAGTGAGGACCCAATATCTTTCTAACTCTTAGGTTCCTAGTATTGTTGTATCCATCAGGATTTGAACTCGTTATCTGTTTGTTAGCAGTCATATGTGTGTACCATTCAGCCACGGGAAAGGTACTGTCACAACCCCATGTCATTCGCTGTTACATGCCGAGTTGGGCGATGTACATATAAACCAAGGATCCGCAATGTGATAAAAAGGACTGAATGGACAATGCAGTGCAAGTGGAATCCCAACAAGCAATGTGCATTCCGATACATACAAAATGGTGCTTTATAGCGCAGGGAAGACTTTAGATACAAGTCCTGACCTGACCGGGACTGACCTCTTTCACGTAGTACAAGATAGCGAAGCAGAATGCTAGAATACTAAGGACTAGCCCGCTCAATGTTCGACGCAGACCAAACATACATCATGCTCATCACAAGGTGTGATGGGGCCTATACACAGGAAAGAGGCACCAGGTCCAGACATACACAGACGAAGAGGAGGGGATCAGACGAAGAAGAGGAAGGGGGAGATGGGAAAGTCGTCAACACCAAGTCTCGTTACAAGTCCCGAATAATCCCTCTTCAAAATGTCTGAGGTCCAATGTCGAGTCTGGATCCAAATGTCACCAAGCTCTCTCTCTCTCTCTCTCTCTCTCTCTCTCTCTCTCTCTCTCTCTCTCTCTCTCTCTCTTAGTCTGCTGATGCAGTGAAGTCAGATAGCGAGAGGGTGAGAAGGAGATGGTGGACTGAGAAGAGGAAGAAGAAGAACTCTCTCTCTCATGTATCAGGTACTAACCTGTGAAGATGGCGCTGTGCTGCAGGTACCTTGAAGTCGAAGCTGGAGCAACGGCACAGCAGGTAAGTATCCCTGGCCTCCGCCCAATCTCTCTCTCTCTAGTACTACTCTAGCTATGGCGCCCAGCGGTTGAAGACTACAACCAAGCTACTAGCGCCCAGCGCTAAAGACTACTGCTAATGCTACAATTACTCCTCCAGCGCTCCTCCAGAGTGCTGCTGCCAAATCCCGAAGACTACTGACTGCCTCCTGCCTGCCCATGAAGTGCATGGGAAGTCCCTATGTACTACCTCGGCCTGCCTCCTGACTGCCTCCGACTGCCTGCAGTTGCAGGGCGGGCAGTCCAGGAGGCTGCTCTTGCCAATGCCAAACTGAGCCAGGGTCTGGCGCTGCAGCTGTCGTGGGAACAGGCCAAAAATAGCGTGTTCCTAGAACCCTGGTTTGGTGCCTGAGTTTGAGGGCAGGTCGGTCTGATGAAAGACCGATAATGGCCCTTCGTTCCAGGCTAAAAAGGCTACTGCCATTTTTAATCTGAAACGACACAGGGTCTGTAGGCCCCTGTTTTTCAGGCTTTCGAGCTGAACAGACACGGGGCCTGTAGGCCCTGATTTTCAGGCTTTCAGCCTGAGGGATGCAGGGCCTGGAAAATGGCCCTCGTGTGCAGGCGCAACATGTAACACCCCCCCCTCCTTATGAAGTCAAGCCGGGGCGAGGGCGAAGCTGACGATCTGAAGGCGGAACCTGGACGCGGGTGCGGCGTGGAGCCGAAGAGACCGGCTTGCCTTGCATCTTGCGTTCGTAGCGTGCGAGAACGTCTGGAGCTGTTGCTTGAAGTTCCGCACGGGTCAACCAACGGTCAGCTCGGTGTGTGCAGTATGCAAAATGGACCAAGTACTTGGTCGGCATGTTGTCGTAACGTCGCTGGGAGATGATGTCGCCGACCTCCTGAAAACCGTCCATAGAGGGTGGGTCTTGCGAACGTGGCCCGGGAAAATCGTCATGTTCCGCTGGCGTGTAAAGAGCCAACTTGGAGCAATGAAAGACTGGGTAGACGGGCAAGTGGGTGGGCACCTGAATAGTGAAGGAAGGTCCCTCAGGTGCATCCCCTGCGGGTGCCACCATCGGCCAGGGCCCCATCCATTTCGGGAGGAGCTTGCGAGAGATATCGTGTTCAAGGCTGAATTCCGCGGCGGAAACCCAAACGAGATCGCTGGCGCAAAATGGGCAAGGAAGACGCTGGCGATTGGCCTATTGGCTCATATGTTGCTGCGTCTTGGCCATCTGGTCGCGTGCCTTGACAAGTAGCTCTTGCATCCGACGCAAGAAAAGAAAACGGTTGTCGCTCTCGACCGTTCGTGGAATGATTGTGTCCAATGGCGAAGTGACTGGCGAGCCGTGCTCGAACTCGAAGGGCGACATCCCGATAGCCGGGTGGATGGACTAGTTGTAGGCCAACTCGACATCCGGCAGCCGCTCAACCCAATCCTTTTGGTCGGGGCGGATGAGACTGCGAAGGAGCACTTGTGCGGTCTGATGCGCCCTCTCCGTTTGGCCATCGGTTTGGGGGTGGCGAGCCGAACTTCGCTTGAGAGATGAGCCCCATCGTTTGATGAGCGCCAACCAAAAATCGGACATGAACCGAGTGTCGCGGTCGCAGACGATTTCCTTGGGTAACCCTTGGTTCGAATCCAACCGGCGTAAAGAACCTCGGCCAACTTCGGTGCCTTGGCATGATAGCGGCAAGGCAAAAACATGGCGAACTTGGTGAGTCGGTCGACCACCGTGAGAATCCCATCCACGCTGGTCTTGTGCTTGGGGAACGGGCCGATAATGTCCATGGCAATCGCTTCCCTTCGCCGCAAGGGGACCGGTAATGGTCGCAACTCGCCATATGGACGATGGTTGCGGGATTTGCAGCGTCGGCAAACATCGCATGACTCGCAATAACGTGTGACGTCGTCGACAAGGCCGGACCACCAAAATCGCTCGCGAAGTCGGCCAATCGTGCGATTGACTCCAAAGTGTCTGGTGGCGGCAGCATCGTGGAACTCGCCAAGAAGCCGCGTACGCAAGTGAGGGTCACTCGGTACGCAAAGAAGGTCCTTCCCCCGTGTGTGGACAAGCAAGTACCCCTCTTGGATCCGGTAGTGAGAAGGCGCCGGATTAGGAGAGGAGCAATTCGCGTACTTGTCGCGAAACTCGAGGTCGGCTTGATAGCCGCGGATGAAGCTGTCCCGCAGGTCGTTGTCGATCTCGAAGGTTGAATAGACCATGGTACAATGATCTGGACGCCGTGAGAGAGCATCCGCAAAACGGTTCGACTTCCTCGGAATGTGATCGGGAAAGAAGTCGAACTGGTCAATGAAAGCCATCCATCGAGTGATGCTGCTGTAGACGGTGTCTTGGGTCTTGTAAAAGACCAACAGATCGCTGTCCGTTACCCATCGGAATTGGCTTCGACCAAGGAGGAAGTGCCACCACCGCTTGAGCGCGTGGACGAAGGCGAGGGGCTCCTTCTTGCGTGCATCGTCAATGGAGTGCACGACGGGCACTTTCTTGCTGAAATACTCGATCGGGTGCCAGTCCACGCCATCGTGTTGCTCGAGGACGGCACCAATGCCATAGCCGGACGCATCCGTAGTGACGCGCGTAGGCAAAAGCGGGTCGTATATGCGCAAGACCTCCGCAGATAATAGCACGGCTTTGAGAGCCAAAAATGATTCCTGCGCCTCCTCTCCGAAGTCAAACGGCCGATCCTCGCATTGAAGCTTGGTCAAGTGGGTCGTGATCTTCGAGTAGCCCTTGATAAAACGCTGGTAGTAGCCGGCGAGACCAAGGAACGAACGAACATCCGTGACGTTCCGTGGCTCCGGCCACTCTTGGATGGCTTGAATCTTGTCCGATAGCGGACTGATGCCCTCCGGTGTGACAAAATGGCCCAAGTATTCCAGCTCTTGCCGGACAAATTCGCACTYGTCGCGGTTGGCCTTGTACTTAGCGCGGCGGAGCGTCTCCAACACTCGTCGAAGGTGCTCAAGATGATCCTCCAATGACCGGCTATAGACGAGAATATCGTCTAAGAGTAGACCAGCACAAACCGGTCCAACATTGCACGAAACTCGCTGGTCATTGCCGCTTGAAAGGTCGCTGGGGCGTTGGTGAGGTGAAAAGGCATGACCACCCACTCAGAATGCCCATACCGCATCTTGAACGCGGATTTGTAACAATCGTTCGGTCGGATCGAGATTTGATGATATCCCGACTTCAAATCCAGCTTGGAAAAATACTTTGCGCCTCCCAATCGCTCAAGAAGATCGTTGATGCGAGGAAGAGGCCCCACATTCTTGACGGTTTGCGCGTTGAGCTTGTGGTAGTCGATGCACAATCGTAGATCTTTGTTCTTCTTCCGTACAAAGAGAATTGGCGCTCCGTATGGGGAGCTACTAGGGCGGATCCAGCCCTTGTCCAACAAATCATCGAGTTGTGCGCGGAGGACCGTGAGCTCCTCCTCGCTCATGCGATAAATGCAACCTTTCGGTGGCACGGCACCGACCTCAAGAATGATCTCGTGAGAGATCGACCGATCCGGCGCCACACCAGTAGGTGACTCGAAGATGTCGACGAACTCGTCAAGCAACCGCACCACACGGGGGTCCGAAGACAAGTCCGTGGGTGAAGAGTCGGCTACCGCGACGGTTCGTAGGAAACATAGGCCGATTTTGTTGGGCTTCTCGTAAGCACAAGTAGCCCGGAATGACTTGGCCGTCACCACTTGGCACCAAATTGAAGGGTGCGGAAGAGGAATAGTACACGGCACCTCGACGCCGAAAGCGTCGCGAACGGTAAGAGTCCGCCGGTGGAAGTTGACTGTGTGATCCACACTTGCAAGCCAAGGCATTCCCAAAATAATGTCGAAGTCCGTGTCCAAAATGTCAAATGTCACCGGTTTGCGTGCATGAGGTGCGAAATACAACGGTACGGCCTTGATGTAGCGGTCGATAAGTTGCTGCGTCCTTCCGTCCGCCAACTTGATCGCCATCGGGTTGGCCTTCCTTCGAACTTGTGCACCAAGGCCAGCCGTTTGCATAAAGGCTTGGCTCATAAAATTGCGAGACGCGCCGCTATCCAGCAAAGCGCTGCAGGACGCTTGCCCAACTTGGATGCGGACATAGAGGAGCGGTGCGTTGTTGTCGTCGTAACGCTAATTGCGAAACTTGCGGGCCACCTTGGTAACATACGCAAGGATGTCCCCCACCGCGACTTCGTCATCCGTCGGCGAAGTTGGTGGTGCATAAAAGGATAAGTATGTGTGAAGATGAGCGCATAGTGCTGCGCATTGCGGTCCTGGCAAGCGGCTCGTGGTCGGGAGAGGAAGCCATGCGAAATCCCCGGACGTGAGCGGGTCCAATACCTCTATGTTGAACTCGCGTGCCGAATCCCGTGAAGAACCACTTGAAGACGATAAGTCGCCGCTGTCGGACGAAGAAGATGCCGCACACACGTCTTGTCCTTGAGCTTGAGTACCCAGCATAGGAATGAGCCGGGCAGCATAGTCCTCAAAAGAATAAAGAAGAGGAGGACTATCGACTTCCGCATGTGCCTCCGAACGAAGGGCGGTCACCCGCGAAGCGACCGGTTCCGAGGGCGTCGAGAGTGTCGTCGAGTCACTCCCGGCGGTGCTCAGTTTCCCGATTTGCCTTTGCCTTTTGACTGGCAGGCCATTGTCTCATGGAGATCGCTGTTGCACCATAGGCAATAGTGAAATCTCTTGCTTGCTTTGGATGCTTGCTTGGAGAGACCGTAATGGGACCATGGGGCTGGAGCTGCTGCGCTGGGCCCGGGGCTGAGATGCGGTGTTTGTCTTCGTCTTGCCGCGTCCTCGGCCTTTGCTGGAGCGGCCACCTTCCCGGGCGGCTGCGAGTCTGTCCCCTTCATTGGTAGACACGGCCTCGCTAGTTTGGTCATTTGGCGTTGCCGCCGCGACCACGGCCACTTTCGGTCGATGCTGATCTCTGCTCAGCCCTGGCGCAGACGAATGCTGGAGATTCTTGGCCTCCTTGTTCGTTACAATAATCTGCTTGGCCTCGTCGAAAAGTTCTGCCGGTGTCGTCAGGGTATCCTCGACGTGAGTCAAGGCATTGCCCAACGCCCGAGCGACCTCGAGATAAAGTAGTGTTTGATGGCTTTGAAGCCCATCTGGATGTCTGGGACGGATGTCAAGCGTTGGTACTCGGCAATCTAGTCAACACTCAGTAGTGTGCCTTGTTCGAAGACCATCAGCTTGTCCATTGCCTTGATCTCCGCCGGCTCTACTTGGAACCGCTTATGCCACGCCTCCTTCAGATCATCCCAACTAATCTTGGTATGCAAGTCGGCAGCTACCACTCGGTACTTGGACAAGAGATTGTCCAACCATGCCTGGTACGCACCCCTCGACCGGGAGTATAAGTACGCGTGGTGCTTGTGTTCTTTGACGTAGTGTAGCTGCAGTGTGAGCTCGAACTTGTGGAACCATGAAATCGGATCTGTCTTCATCGAGTCGCAGAAGATCTCCTGCCCGTCGAACTTTGAAGCTGTCTCGCACGGTTCCAAGCTCGAGTTGTTGGCGGCAGTACAGATCCGCTGCTCCATCTGTTGCGTTGCGGTTTGCTGTAATTGCACGCCGTCCTTGAGGGAGCCGGCATCAATCTCCAATGCCTCGAGGCGATCGGAGGTGTTGGAAGAGCTGGCATCGGGGGCGGCGACAGGGCGCTGCTCCAGCTGCCGGAGGCGGCCGTGGACTTGAGTCAGCGCGTCGTTGAGGCTGTGGATGTCCTCCTGCTGTGTAATGCATGTTGCCAGGAGGTCCGTGAGATGGGATAGGAGTAGAGCGATCTTGTTTTCACGGTCTTCCATCTTGCCACTCTCAGACTCGGTCCGCCAATCCGCTGCCATTGTGAGCAAAGCTTGCTCTCCGCTGAATATCTTCTCACGACGTTGAACTCGTTCTTTATCGGCAGCCTTTGCTGCTGCCTCGTCATGCTGGCGCTGCTGTTCAATTGCCAGCAGACGTGCCTTCTCGGCGCCCTCTGCCTTCTTCTGTGCTGCGGCTGCTACTGCATCCGACGATTGCTTAGCTTCGGTAATCAGAAGCAGCATCCGGGCCTGATAGGCCTCGTCCGTTTCCCCGGACTTCTGGTCCATGACAGTTGTTTGTGAGCACAAAAGCATAGACCAGGCCGGGGGCCTGCTGACGTGGTACTGCTGTCGGCTGGCGTGTCCTGCTGACGTGTCCTGCTGACGTGTCCTGCTGACGTGTCCTGCTGACGTGTCCTGCTGACGTGTCCTGCTGACGTGGTCTGCTGACATGGCCTGCTGACTTGGCCTGCTGATGTGGTCTGCTGACGTGGCCTGCTGACGTGGCAACTCACTGCCTCCTGACTGCCTCCGACTGCCTGCAGTTGCAGGGCGGGCAGTCCAGGAGGCTGCTCTTGCCAATGCCAAACTGAGCCAGGGTCTGGCGCTGCAGCTGTCGTGGGAACAGGCCAAAAATAGCSTGTTCCTARAACCCTGGTTTGGTGCCTGAGTTTSAGGGCAGGTCGGTCTGATGAAAGACCGATAATGGCCCTTCGTTCCAGGCTAAAAAGGCTACTGCCATTTTTAATCTGAAACGACACAGGGTCTGTAGGCCCCTGTTTTTCAGGCTTTCGAGCTGAACAGACACGGGGCCTGTAGGCCGTGGTTTTCAGGCTTTCAGCCTGAGGGACGCAGGGCCTGGAAAATGGCCCTCGTGTGCAGGCGCAGCATGTAACATTCGCTCTCAAGTTTGTGTTTTCAACAAAGACTGTTGTTTCGTGTTCGCGAAGTCACAGCAGAATTTGCCTTCCAATCATTGCTCCATTCCTGACAAAGTGGTGAGTGCTCTGCCTGTCTC